GCTGGATCACTGGCAGGTAAAAAGGGCTTTTTTCCCTCCTCACTTTTGCCTATGAACTCATTAGATAGGTGTTTTCCCAAAGCTCAGTTCAGGCATGAGAGCTCATGAAAAGATTAAACAAATGAGAGTGAATTATTGCTCAAAAATATTAGCTGTAATAAAAATATAGAGAGAATTTATTAAAATTCTGCAAAATCAGAATGATAATTCATCCTGCCAACGCTCTGCTTGTATTTCCGAGCTCATTCTTTTATTCAAGCTCGAATTTCAAAGCATTTTTAAATATGCTGTGTTTGGAGCTGTTAATAATTTGGTGGAGTTGGGGGAGATTTAAAGGAATTTTGTGGTTTGCCAAACTTTGCCTAGGGAAACAAAACTCTCACAAACACTCACAGATTCTTTACACATGACTAATAGTGATATCAACACATACCAGATAAGGTACTGTATAGTGCTGCAGTTAAAGAGGGTATATTTTAGAACATCTCCGGCTGCAGCATTTGTGTCATTCCTCTTTCTCAGAATAAAAAGGAGAACTTTTTTTTGTAAAGTGAAAGTGCAGCAAAGAGCAGCATTTACCATAGCTTATCATAACATTTGTGAGAGGAGTGCATTTCATATGCAAGGAATGTCTGACTCATTTTTCCTGTTTGTGTGCGCTTGTCAGTTATATCTTCAGAAAAGCTGATCTAAACAAGATTACTTAGATCATTTACACGTCTCTTCTCCCCGCAGAGCTCAGGGGACTGTTTTTTTAGCTGTCACTTTGCATAGACAACGGAGGCCTAACTACCCAATTTTACATAGCAGTTGAAGCCTGATAGCAAGCTTTCTTGGATAAGCTTCCTGCTTTAAATAAGCTCATGTGTTTTATGCTGTAAACCATTCACGAGTTCTTCAGCACTTTCAATCGTAGCAGATTACTCATCGTAAACGGAAACGACAATATTTTGTAACCATTTTTTTTAAAATGGAGAACTTGAAGCAGCCAAATGAATCATACTTGTACGCATCTGAACTTTATTGGAAGGATTCGGCACGTGAAAATGCACACGTGTTCCCTCAGATGCGCCTTTTGCATTTTTATACTTCTAAGGTTGACGATGTTCAGTGCAGTTCACTGTAGTTTATCTTTAATTGGTCCCACATGTACAGTGTCAGAGCACCAAATTCGTATTATTCCACAGGTTTAAGTAGTCCGTAAGCAACACACTGTTCACTCCTGTTTGGGCATCGTTTGCCAAAAAGCAACTGTGCCCAGCTGCGTCGGGACATTTGATACATTTGTGGGCTTGTTTTAAAGATTGGAGGACAAAAAAGTTCAAACACTGTTGATCATTTAAATTAAACGTTATACAGTAAATATTCTGTGCACAAGGACAAGAAGACAGTTTTAGTTTTAAACAAACTTTATTCAGCATTTTACTCAACCAGGAACAAATCATTTGACAAACTTTATTTTATTTCACTTTTTTTTTATATTACATTGTCTTACATTTGTCAAGGCCATTATCGATTATCAAAGGACTCAGTCTCTCCAACCCTGTCTGCATCTGCCTCAGTTCAATCTACAAATAGCCATGTCCACGTATAGGCCTGGGATTCAAAACTTCTTCACTCTATTTTCTCTGGGCCATCAGCACAGCACCAGACAATCCCCCCTTTTCATATCTCTCCAGCAGATGAACTGTCTAACCTTGTGTTAGTGAGCATTACTCTAATTTAAAGTTCCCTTGATGGACTATGGCCAGCTGCCTCGGGGCAATGGCTCTCGACGACACTATCTTGTGATGGGATTATACAGACACATGCACACAAATGTCCTGTTTACCCCTTCCTGCTCAGCTTGATTTCACCAGTTTGCTCACACTTTTCAAGCTTTTTCCAGCTAGGTAGAAAGAGAAGGGGAATGTTCAGGAGTAAGCTTGAGAACCCTCTTTTCACTTCTCTTGTCATTGTGGAGTTCTGATTTATTTATTTTTTAGCCATTTTAACTCTCACAGAAGCACTTGAGCAATTGCAACTCGCATTATTTCCCCTGTATTAACAGGACTTACAGGACTCCAAAACAGTTGCAACAGTTGCAAAGATTTGTTCTGATAAACAATCTTATCACTGAAGCTGGTGACTCAATGGTGACGTGCAACTTTGGTGGATGAGACTATAGCAAGTTTTACACATAAATTCCAGGTAATGTTGAGAGAATCAGGTCTGCACATTGTCCAGAGTTGGCTTTTCTCACATGTGATAGATGCATAGTGACACTTGAAATGCATTGAGCAGTTTAGGTTTGGGCAAAGAGTGGCGACTGGATAGTCTGCGCAGGAGGCGGGACATGATGCAAACTCACTCTGTGAATTACCTGAACCTTTCACACATGTGCTCATTTGGACTTTACTTTCTACAAGGAGGCTGCCTGGGTAATGTCTGGTCCAACTGATATAGATATTTACATTCTAATATTCAGCTCCGCTGGTTAATGTTAGAAAAGTTCAGAGCTACAATGCATTTGAGAAAATGAAGAAATATTCCCTGTAAGATCTGACATGGAGGTAGCCGTCATGATTTTGACAGTTAAATGACAAGTTTATCAGCAAGACACTTAAATGAGACAAAACACAATAAAGCTTCTGTGATAAACATACTTGAGTTTATTTCTGCATGACTGCAGAAGCATGTAGAAGCGACGGGTTGAATGTGTAGAATACAAGCCCTCCATTCTCACTGCGAGACATCAGACCCTCAAGGTGAGACATTTATAGGACATAACAAGAAATTCAAAGGCTTCATTCTTGAAAAACGTGCAGTGTTTTGCACTTCCTCTCCCTCCCAGAGATAACGTTGCTATCCTCAGGGAAAGCAGCTGATTTATTGACAACACAGCACCGCAGCTGAAAGTTTTAAAAGCAGGGGATTTTTTTTTTTTTTAACTTGAACATTTTATGGACTTTGAACCACGAGACACAGCGTGGCAAACGAGATGAAGACCTCATGACTCCCAACAGACAAGACAAGCAGGGAGGGATAGTCTCCCCCATCAGCTCTCTCTGTGGGACGCTTTTGTTCGATAAGATGTCATGCACCACACCCGATTTAAGTCATGTGCTCCTCATTGAATGACGACCAACACAAGTCAACAAGGATGTGTTTGTGTGTGTGTGTGTGTGTGTGTTTGAGCCACTCGGTACATTTTGCGCATGTTTGTTGTTTAAGGTCATATCGTCCATGTTGTGCTTGCATATCTCCGTGTATGTCTAAGTGCATATTTCTTTGCTGCGTAGCCAAAGTATGAAAGAATGTGCTGGACTGGAGAGAAGGTGCTGTGTCCCTGTGAGTGGGTGTATATGGTCTGGGTCAAGGCTTTTTAGTACATTAAGACCTTAACTCTGCTCCAGGGGACTCTTACTCCACACCCACGCCTCCATTTATTAAACTCTGGACCACATCAACATTCCTGGGATTAGACACAAACCATATAGCTACACATGCACTTGCGATATATTATCGCTGTGAGATACATTCATATATAGCCAGCATGAAACTGTTGGTCAGCCCTCATGTGAGAGCTTAATAGGGTCTTTTGGCTGTAATGAGCAGAGGGACTGACACATTTATTCTGCATCTAAAGGCACTTTGCAAGATAATTAAGGTGGCTACAACCACATTTAAGTAAATTCTCCTCCATTTGCTCAGTATCTAAAAAATGGCCTTGAGTATTCCACCGGGGGGGGGGTGTTGATGATGTCTCCAGTAATTCGCAGTATAATTTTGGATATCTGGTAACAACTCAGAAGAGGTTGAGTCACAACTTTAAGTTGTTTTTTAATTTCACTTTTGCAGTTTTGTTATGTTTAGGCACCAAAACTGCGTGATTATGGTTAGGAACATATTTTTTGGTAACCATTTCCTGGAAGACTGTCTCTTTTTAGGTGAGTCACGATGAAAAACATTAACCAGCCCCAATATGATTTTCCTGATTTTCTGTCAAAAATGTGTTACAGTGGCTTGAGAGGTTTTCTTAATTCACTTCAGTTGTGTGAATTAACTTGCCAAATTACATTCGTCGCCTCGAAGCACAATGTATTGTAAAGTAAAGGCCAGAAAACAGAGAAAATCCCAATATTCAAACATTAAACTGAACAAGCACTTGGCAACAGTGGGAAGGAAAAACTCCCATTTAACAGGAACAAACCTCTGTCAGAACCAGGCTCAGTCAGGGGCAGCAATCCAGTTAATGGTACATAGTTCTGGCTTGTGAGCACAGAACGCCCGCCCACTGACTTCTATTAACGAGGGGCAGCCAATCAGAAGAAAGGAGGATGAACTAAGGGGCTGCACCAGTAATGTCCAGTATAATATATGGATAATGTTGCTCTAAATTGACTCCAGCAGTATCCAAACATTTTTTTAAAATGGAGCTGGATATAAGCACAATATAACACACACACACATATATATGGAGGTAATACACAGTGCTCTCTTTTGTACAGGGTATAAACAGCATACTGAAGCTCCCTCTCTCTCACTGTCACACGCACTTCCTGTTAAGCCTTTAATCACAAACATGCTCATTTTCAGTCCTCATGTTTACCCAGACAGATCAATCCAGCTGATCCAGCAGCTGCTGGACCTTGATCTCAAACTACCCCTGACAGATAGAGCCCCTGTTGGACGACATGCTCACTTTACTGCATGGGTAGAAGCAGGGATATCATTTATTTAGGCTGCAAATACCAAATTTATGATTGTGTGTGATTGTATGTAAATGTAGTCTATCTAGTGGTCCAGTGGAGCTACAATCTCTTTTAGAGGGGTATCATTATGTATGAGTGTGCATATATTTGCACGTACAGTGTTATTTCTTTGCCTCTGTACTGGTTTATGGTTGCACACATATATTCCTCTATGTATTCCACCTGTGCGTGCGCCTGCATGCCTACATAGTGGGTGCTTGCTTCTGCATTAGCATGTGTGTGTCAAGAGCATGGGTTGTAACTCACTTTGACTTCGAGCGAGGCCCCTGGCAGGGAAAGCTGTGGGCCTGGCAGGTCTCAGCAGGGCTCTAAAGCGGCTCAGCTCAGCTCCGCTGGTGGCTGCAGGCCCGTCTCCATGTCACTCGGAAGATGTGTTCACAAGAACTCCTTACTGGGAGGCCTCCAGCAAGAAAGCAGGATAATGTCATCATGTCTTATTGCTGACAGCCATGTTAGCTCCACAATAGGTTCAGAGAGACTGTGCTGTAGAGAAGCACAGAGATTCATGCCAGTTGATTTGTACAGTGTTTGCCATTTTCCCATTATTAATGGCAGCAAGGCCACTGTTAGAGCTGCTGCAGGCCTGCCAGATCTGCCTTAGAGAATAGGCAACTATGTGGCACCTCTTAAATTTTATCTCTGGCTCTTTCTATTCAACTTTCTAAAAGTACACAAAACAAATTAAAAGATTAATAATAATATCTGACAAGGAATTGACTTAAAAGTTGCTATACTTAATTCTGAAATTGATATATTTAGTTTAAGTAGCAGTATTATAAAACGAGGGTTAGCAGCCAGCTTAGCTCTGTAAAATATGTATTAGACAAAGTCAAAAATGTATATTTTTAAAATTTATATCCCATATGTTTAATGCACATACAGTCAAAATAGAAGAAAAGGTATGTTTTTGGGATTTATTTTTAAAGAGCGGGTGATTTATGTGAGGAAATGTTCCCCGATAAACAGAAACTGGACCCAGTAGCAATATGAAGAGGAGCTCACATAGCTCTTAGATGAAAATGCCTGCTAGGCAGGAAAGTATAATTTCTGTGTGCTACGGTAAACAAAACAAGTCCAAACACATCAATCACATATCAAAGGTCACGAGGCTTATCTCAGAATACAGAGTATGTCTTTAAAATATGGGTGCTGTTCTCAAGTATCTTTTTCAAAGTACTAAAAGTGGTTTCAGAACATAACTCGTGTGTGGGTAAAACAGCAAATAACACGTAAAAAAAATTTTTTCATTCTTTTGTTCTACTTTACAATAAATAAATAAGTTTGATGTAATTATCCGTTTTCTGGTTCAAATGCTTCTTCACTTCCTAAAAGCAAACAACACAGAGAAATCATTAAGAGTTAAAAACACTGGAAACACTTTCATCTCCAACAAAGGGACCATTGTGGTTTTTCTTTCAGATGTTATAATCAAAAATGTCCCAAAAAAAAGGAAAGAAACAGGAGAGGTACTAAGCCAGTTCCCTAGTTGACATCTAAAAATGACATGCTGTCTTCTGGCCCTGGTATTTCTAGAAAAAAATGCAGCATTATACATATATAATATAATATAATATAGTTTCACTATTATCTCAACAATTCACAAATTTAGATTTTTGCCATTATTGTATTTAAATGCATCGTTCATTGCCATGAATTCACAATAAATTTAATATAATCTAAAGATGCCATGTAGCTCAGCACAAACAGCCTGCCTGCCTGGATTGCTCGGGCCGAGTAGGTTGAGACAGGGAATGAAATGCATAAAGACGTGGATGTGGAAAGTGGGTGAAGCGATTCAACTAAAAGAGGGAGAAAACACAAAGATAGAGTCGTGGGACGAAGGTGGAATCGGGTACAGAGAAGCGAGAGCGGAGCCATAGTGAGAGCGAGGTTACGGCCTGGACCCTGACCCAGATTTTATATATGGTCTCTGACAACCTGATCTGACCATGATGCTGTGTGGTCTTCTTGTCTTTCCATTCGTTATGGGTGCATGACGACCACAGAGATCTCCTCCTAGCTCTCCGTGCAGTCGTTTGACGAGATGGAGCACGTTCGTTTAATGCCGCATTAAAGTGACGCCAAGCTCGAGGTCAGACGTCGCAAGGTCCTCTTTTGTGATTTTCAAAAATGTACATGCTCATCCAGCAACGATGGAGAGAGAGCTAGAAAATGGAGATCCATATAATTACGTTATGCAGCTGCTTAAAAACAGAGGTTTGTCAGTATTATGAATAAGAACATTTTCCATGCAGACTGGAAAATGTCTTAAACTCAAAGGGTAGAAAATTTATTTATGTACCAGCAAAGAGAAGAACACTCTGTGCAAAACAAAGTCACTGGCAGTTTGTAGGAGCTCGGCTTTTAGTTTTGCTGGTTTGCTGACAATGCCTACGCCTGCTTGGTTACTTAATGGCCAAGAAGGAGCAAATGCACGTGCTCATATCAGCAAACGTACATGCTCAAAAAAACAAGAATCTACATAATTTCTCTTAAATCTTTCTGCTTGCAACAAAAGGTTTTCATTCTTAAAATATTTTTTAATTTTTAAAAAAATCCATACAGGGATAGAAAAATGTACAATTCGAAGAAGTAGGCAGATCATTTCTCTGTGTACCAGTAAGAGAAGAACACTGGGTGCAAGCTGAAGTCTTTGGCAGAGGTTGCTGGCACTTGCTTTTTGCTTTTGCTGGTTTGCTGGCAATGCCTACGCCTGTTTGGTTACTTAATGGCCAAGCAGGAGCTATAACCAAGCCAGCTTCTTTAGAAGAAGAAATCAAGATTTTGGGGCATTTGGCAGAGTCAATGGGATTATTTTTTAATAGCCAGTATTAATAATTCATAATAAAATCCTATCAGAGAGACACTATCATAGTAGTGTCTGTTGTAAAGCTGCGGTTTTTATTTGCTCCATTATTACTAACAAAATAAAACGGGGAATGGGTATGACGTTGTCTTTATATTTGGGAGGTATTACAGTTTATAGGGGGGCCGAATGTCGGTGTACATTTCTTGAATTTATAGCCTGCCTCTGTGGATAAACATAAACCGACACACACACACATGCGCACAACTACACTGTGTGTTGAGATCACTGGGAGTTAGGTGACAGATACTGAGAATGCCTGGGCCTAAATTAAGCCCACTGCTTCATCAAAAACATCCTGCCTTTCTGCTCAGGCTGAGATTGTGTTCGCTTTTCACGGGGAGCTCAGGTAAGCTAGTGGGGGCAAACGCACTTTTATTCACACGCACGCTCAAGCATTACATTTTGTTACAGAGGCTGTGAGAAGCGATGGAAAACTGTCCTGTTTAATCTATTTAAAAAAATAAGCGCTATTGCTCATATTATTCTTATCACATATTTGCGATGATAAAATTGACTCACTGCAGCGTTGCTGTTTGTTGTGCCAAGAACAAAGACATGGAAAAAATGTAATATTGCTTTATAACCGTCGCTCCTTCTCTGCAAATAAAAGACATGCACCGCTTGGGATGATTCCTTAAATGTACTGTATAAATTCTTTAAATGATGACAACATAGCTGAGCTTAGCCGAGTTGACACTCGCATGCATACATGCACACAGATGTCGTTAGAATTCTAGAAATGTTCCTAGTGCTGTAGGTGTGTGGCGAGAAGTTAAAATAAAGAGTTTTACATAAAAAAAACATAAAAGTAGCTCATAAAACACGTTTTACTTTAACGTAAACACTCAAATAAAAATCTATACATGACACAATGAATGCATTATTTTGATTTTTTACAGTGAGGATCTGTTCAGAATGAGTTCTCCTCTAAAACACACGAAGGCATGACCTTTGCTTCAAATGCAGCATTGTTCTTCTGTTCAGTTACTTCTAGGAAATGTTTTGAGTACCTCTTTCCATATGCTTGCTGGGAAGGAGAATAAATTCACCTGTATATACACACGATCACAGTGTGACCTATATACAGTAACAAAGAGCCAAAAAATTGGGTGTGAGCATAGGAGGCTAAGGAGGCCAGGAGGGAGGGAGGCAGGGAAGGAGGAGGAGGCGAGTTCTGCACCACTCTGCTCCAGCTCCGACTCTACTGGTGACCCCGCGGCTGTAAATCTGAAAGCAGAAGACCATTCCTCACTTCTTGTTTTTTTCCTTTCTCCTTTTCACTCTCTGGCCCTTTCACATATCAGCGTCTGTGAATGACTTTCAGTATTTGATCTCGGCTCATTACATCTGCTCAGCAAGTCACAGTAGGATATTTAGTTTTACAAGTGAGATCGGGAGGTGAAAATAAGCGTTTAGTTGCAGATGTTTGGGACTTTTTCAAACGACAACTTGAAGTTAATCAGATATGATGTGACCGTCACCACAGCAAATGTCACTGTTGGCCTCTTTGTGTTAACAGGCAGCTTAATTAAGCAGTCACGCTGCCTCGACGTTCAGTTCGGTAAGCAGAGCTACATCGCGAAAACAAGTATTAAGCCATTTTTACTCGTGCTCATTAAGCATGCATGTCTTCTTATTTACACCCACTTCAAAGCTTTCTGTGTGACAGTTGCCAAGCGGGGGAAAAAAATGAAAGGGAAAAGGCGAGAATAAGAGAATAGACTCACTGATACAGTCAATTTCCAGGAAAACCTGACTGTGACCAGTTAATTATCTTGATGCCTAACACACAACATGTCTGTCTTAGCCCGAATTCAATGCCGTGGCAGCTGTTAGAAAAGAACAAAATTTGGTGACGGCCAGGTAGAGGTTTTTAATGCAGGTCCCACCGCTTTTCACCAAACTACGACTGAAATGTTTGTCAAAATGACACTAAAGGTATAATATCTGCAGGGGAGTTGCGTTTCCCTAGCAAAGTCTTCCCAAATGAGTCCTCCTAATGTAACAGAGTAAACAATTCTTGGCTTCTAGTTTTAGAGCCAACTTCCAAATTTTAATGTTTACCTACCTAATTCCCTCCAGCATGAGACTGGGTGGAAAAACTGCCATACGACCGAGTCACAATTCCAAAACCTTAATGAATGACTGTTTTAGTTAGGATTTTTCAGGGATCATTGTGCATTACCTGTCAAAATTAACTATATCAGCATTTCTGAAGACACTGCCGGAGTCTGTGTGTGGCTTAGTATGAAAATGTCCATGAGCAAAAGACTAATATACGTTCTCATGTGTGTGATCTGAGATCATAACTCTGTGAAACAGTATCAACACTGTGACTGTGATTTTCCCACATGCCGTATTTAGTCCCACAAGGATCCTGTCAAGATCACTTGAAAGTTGTGCAAAGTCTGACCTTTTATTTCTTGTTATTTTACAGTGATTTAACAAAAACTACAGCAGGGAGAAGAGTATAAATACTATTAAAATATTACAGCTGGTGTTTCTGACACAATCAGACAACATTATGTCAGCTGAATAATAGAAACCCAGGCAGACGTCACAATATTTTGGACGTCAGACAGCATCCTGTCAAAAAGACTGCAGTATGCCCAGT